TTATATTTTGAAAGAATATTATTAATTTCGTTACCAAAATTTGTTGTAGTCATTCCTTCGGTAAGAAAAGCTTCAAGTTGCTCAATTTGTGCTTCAATTAAAGGAAAATAGGGTTCTTTTTCTTTTTGAAAAAACTCTGTATCCAATATAAACTAACGTGAATGGTAATGAATAAAAGCTAAGTATATTTCCGTTAACCATTTTCATTATTATCATTAAAAACTGAAACAATATTTTCAATTGTTTCGTTTGAATTTAGCTCTTTTTCTTCACAATAGAAACCCCGAATATAGTCCAAATAATCATAAATATATATCACCATTTTAAACTACGAATTCCATCGCGTCATATTAGGTAAAGGCATAAAACGTAAAGTTAATTGTAAAGAACTTTGAGAGTTTAAATTATTATCCGAATTGTCCTTAATTCCATGTCGACGAAGATAATCCATATGTCTTCCTTTAGCATAAATCATAGACTTTTTAATATTATTAATTAACTTGCGCACACTATCAAAATGATAGATATTTGTCCAAGCTTCACTAATAAATTAAAAATTAATATTATAAATCTATAACAAATGTTAAATATAAATAAATTTATAAAATGCCAACCTTATTAATTGAATAATATGTGCGCAGCATGTATTGTGTTGAACTTGTGGCATTGCTGGCTGCAAAACTTCTCGAACAGACTTTTTTAAGTAAGAAGCCGAGTCCGATACAATAAGGCATAGACGATTAAAAGGTATATCCCACTCGACTAAAATCTGAAAAACCAATTTACCCACCGTAGCATTATTAACTTGAGATAAAAAGTTAACTGAAATTAACTTTGTTTGATCCCGATAGCTAAAAAGTGTATTAACTACACTACGGGCTTTTTTGTCAGTAGTTTCATCGATTATTACTGAGATTGGTTTGCCACAAAACATTTTTCGAAGCTGTTCACAATGTTGCTCAAATACATCATCTAAATGATATTTTCGAATGCTATCTGCAATAGGAATGGATCCCCACTCTTTACAATATTTTTAAAAAAGTCTCGCACTTTATCTATCTTCTCAAGTGAAATGTCCACTTCAATCCAGACTTTCACTAAATCATTAATTATTTGCTTTTTTTTATTGGCAACCACCAATAAAGTATGAAAAGATTGTTGATGATCATTACGATTAGCAGTAACATAAAAGTGACAGGAATCCTGGTGAGCTTTTGAATTTATATGCGTAGTAACAGTAGATTTATTTTTCCAACCAATACTAATATTACAAAATCGGCAATAAAGTTTATTGCTATCAACAAAAAGATCCTCCGGAAATTCTTGTGCTCGTGAATAAGGTGAAACAACTTTTGCTTGTCCCATAATTATGAAGAATCGATACTAATAACTACTAGAATGTATTTTTGCAAAATGCCGTTGCTAATATTTTCCACCTTCAAAGCCAATTTGAGTTTTTGCTAATGTCTTTTTTACCCAAAACCAATTTATTAAATTCAAGATTCAAAAGATAATGTTCTTATAAAGAGCCGTTGTTATTGTTTTTTCTCCTACAGAATCAGTACAAACTTTAATAAACTATAATATTTTGTACAAAAAAAGACAAAACACATACTCACACAAAAGACCTCTTTAATGTTTTCCCTCCTTAGATCCAGTCTCCTTAACGTCTTCCCTCCTTAGGTCCAACCTCTTCAACGTTTTTCCTCAGATCGAACTTTGTATTCAATAGTGTTCTTGCGAAGAATCTCAATACCAATATAGTACTTTGATCGCAATTTCATCAGATTTATGGTTAATTTTATTGGCTCAAAATCATGTAATTTGGATTTACGTAGAAAATACTTATAAATTTGGATTTACATGGGAAATACCAAAATATTTGGATTTACATGGGTAAATTTGGATCCAAATTTTTCTGTGTCTCTGACGTACGTATCAATCAGGGCTAAAACAATACATAGTAAATGCCGGACATTCGATAAGTATCGTTCTTGATTCACATTATATTGGCTCAAGAAACAATTGAATGCAGTATAATATACGTATAGTATAATTACTGCATCAATAAAATATATATATAT